GCTGACAGCTGGGCACATGTTCGCAGTCGCGCAGTTCGACGCAGACATATCACGATCGACCCGGGGGTTTAAGTGTGAGTTGGTCGCCCACTCTGGCAGCATGCATCCGCACAGGTGGTTTCCGCGCAGATCCAACATATTAGCACTGATATTGTACCACTCGTGCGGAATCGAGCCAGTCAGAGCGTTAGAAGCCAGCTGCATAGTGACTATGACAGCCATCTTGACCCATTGAGGAGGCAGAGTGCCAGACAGCGAGTTCCGGCTCAAGCTGAGAGACTGCATCTGAGTCAGCTCGCCCCAGTCCGCAGGCAGCGGACCTGTCAGTGCGTTGCCGCTCAAGTCCACTTTCGTTAGTCGTTTCAGGCGGCCCCAGCTCGCAGGCAGTGTGCCCGCAGTCAGTTGACCAGACCCACTCGCAATAATGCTTGTGACAATCACGGCGGCGCCGTCCACGCCGTCATCCAGCTCAGGCAGCACCAACGATTCGGTGTACGGCGACAAGTCGTCGCCGAAATTCAGTTCAGTCGGCGCGCCGGCATTGCAAATCACGTACAACCAGGTGCAGACGTCCGTGCCCGTCCACTGGCTCTTAAGAGACGGGTTGGACTCCGCAAAGAGCTGCAGGAACTTCAGCGTGTTCGTCTGTTCCGCATCGGTGTACGTGGCGGAGACCAGAACGGCGTACACGCACAGCACCATCATCGCTGCAGCCACCATCGTGCGGCGCAGCGGGTAGTGAAGCCGCGCCATGGGTCGCAGTTGGAGGGTGAAGGAAGGAGGTACGGGAGTCGCCGTAGAAAAGCTCCGTGGAACCGGACAGCAGCGGGGAAAACAGCCGTGGCACGCGAGACGTGCGTCTGTGGAGTGTGGCGCAGGGACGGATGTCGTTGATAAAAACAGAAACGTTGGAAGCAGAAAAGGTGCGTTTAAAACAGATAGCTTGAAGAGAGTTATGGCCGAAGAGAGCGTTAGAGTTGAGAGCGCTGCGGCTACTGTGTAACAGCGCAGGAAGAGAGCGAGGGCGAGAGAAGAAGCGGGGAGCAATGAGCGAAGCAGTGGGACAGCAGATGTGTGGCGGTGTGCGCAGCAGGCAGAGCAGCGGACCTGCACCACAGGCACGCGCATGCAATCGCGCGCGCACGCTGACACGCACACGCCCACACCAGTCGCACCACACAACGAGGGGGCGGTGGACGCTCCTCCGCCGCGGCCGCGGCTTTAGAGAGACAGAGAAACGGAGACGCAGATGGCGGCGACGGCGGCAGAGCAGGCAGCAGGCGATGCCCTCCGCACACACCGCACAGCACAGCAGTGCACAGCAGTGCACCTGTGCCGCGGTCGCGGCTTCGTCGCCGGTATCCTGAGTAGAAAATGACTTGCAGAGCACGAGAAAACACACACGAAGATCACGTCGCAGAAACACATCGCTAGCCAGCCGCTAGCACGTGGCATCGACGGCGGACGGCGCAGTTGCGGGCTCCACAACACCTTAGATTGTGTTGCACGGAGTAGTGCACAGCCGCCCGCACTGCTCCACCGCAGCACGACAGCCCCACCGCTCCGCCGGCGCATCACCTTCAGCAGCCGCAGAGGCGCCGCCGGATCCGCGTGTTGGGCCAGCCTGTCGATCCACGTAGGTGGCGCACCGGGAGCACGTGCTCCTCCTTCACCCCTCACTGCAAAGACGAAAGAGCAGCTGCCAACATTTCGTGGCGCATCGGGTCGGTCCCCCGCGGCCATGAGCAACAAGGGACGTGTTGTGTTGGAAGCACGGCGTGCGTTGGGGGGATCGAGGGGGTGGCCCCATCCGAGCGGCGGCGTGTCGAGCACCGACGTCTTCGCGCCTGAGAAAACCCCAGCGCGCGGATCGCGTTCGCCACAGCCCGTGCCGGGAGGGGCGGCCTCACTCCGCCGACCACCGATGCAAAGGCGGCGACGGCGACCATGTACCGTACGCAGCGTCTTGCGCATTCCGCATCGGCCACTCCACCCCGTCTCACCCGGTCCACGGCACTACGCCTCTGCATGGAGCCACCCTCGAGACGACCACACACCGGCTGTTCCGGCAGGGCCTCCAACCATTCTTGTATCCGTCTTCACGAGGTGTTGTGCGGCGGCAGTGTCACGGCGGGTTCGGGGAGGCACACGCGCGGACAGCGCGGTAGGGATGCGGGATGAGCCACACTCGTGCCACGGCAAGCAGCGCAAAAGGTCGCGACCATGAAAAAGGCCGCAGCCGTCGCCGTGTCTGCGCTCACGCGTGCAACGACAGTGGGCAACGGTGAGTGATGGCCACAGCTCTTCGGGCAGCCCTCGCAGATCGTCGGGCACCGGCTCCGAGCGCGCCGCGTCACGGGTGTCGAGCCGGGTTGTGCCGTCTTCGGCCCTCTCCGGCATGCCAGCGACCCAGTGGCAACGGAGAAGGAGAAACGGGAAACGAAGGTCCCTTTGTCGGTTGCACGGACTTCTCGACACCGCACGCGTGTGAAGGATCCAACGAAGTCAGCGTGCCGCATCGCATCATCGTCCTCGCGTGCATGGAGGGCCGCGGGACCCGACGGGGCTCCATACGATTCGTTGTGCACGCGGCAGGACCTCCGCTCCCAGGCATTCCATCCTCCGCCCCGAGGCAGCTGACGGCTGCGATGTTAACGCGGCTCACATTCTTGCGCGCGGAGAGCTGCGGCGCTTGGGCGGCCCTTCCGTTGCAGCAACGCCACCGCCGCCGCCCCCACCGCCTCGGCAGGTGGAGCAGCCGCGTCCCATCCGTTGTCCACGTCGGCATCCGCACCCCCTACCTCCATCGGGCGCAGCGTGTGGCTGTAGCGGGGCGGCGAGATGCCTGAGGCAGCCGGTGACTGGCGTAAGAAGGCTCTCTGCCCGCGACATGTCCGCAGCAGCAACTTGTCCACCTTCAGCGACGTTGATCGGCGCGGCGTAGCGCCCCCATCCAGAAGGTCGAAGGTCGTCGTGGCGTGGAGGGACCTAACCGGCGACTCGCCCTCGTGCAACTCGCGCACCCCGCAAGCTGGCTCCTGCGTGCGATGCTCCACACGTCTTCCTTGGGGTGAGAGATTTCTGCGTACGGCGGGAAGAGCGGCATGGGGCGATGTTCGATGATTTCGTCGAGCAGGCGTCGCCGCTGGGAGCGCAGACTCATTGTAGACCTGGTAGTTGTGGCACTGCATCGCCCCACCCTGCGAGCCAGGAGGGAGAGGTTGCATCACGCACCTCCCACCGCTCTCCTTGCCGGGTGCGCAGAGCGTGCAGAGTCAAGCAAGGACCGCCGTCGGTGGGAGCCGCTTCAGCCCCGCAAAGCCGAGGAGCCTCGCCTTCGTCCGCGCGTCTGTCAGTTCTCCCACGGCGTGCCACCACAACGCCGCCTCTCCGCTGCTGCGCATTCAAGGGAGTTGTGCCGCAGTACGGATTGTTCAGCCAGCGAGGTTGCGGCGTCTTTTGGCGGCGCCTCGGCCTTCGTCGCGGCCCGCGCCAGCAGTTATGCGTGCGTTGCATTATCGATGTTCGCGTCTTTCGAGCCGCTCCGTGGCATCCTGCACCTCACAGCACAGAACGAGCCGGCATCCTGCTGGTTACGGCACGGTGTTCGCTCCTTCTGGAATTAGAAAAAGAGTCTTATAACAAAAGGATTGTGTGAAGAGGCTGAGGTTTGTGGAGACTGGGAGAAATATGCCGAACGGAAAGAAAGGTAGGTAACCATTGTGATACACCAAGCTGCGCACTGTCGCCTGCGGGAAAAGCGGCGAGGTAATACAAAAGACAGGGGGGACGAGAACGAAGGGCGCAGGACGGAAAGAATAGAAGATACAGGAAATCTGAATAGCGTAGTTGGTATTATACGCTACCGGTGCAGTGTTTGATTACGTTCATGGAGGACACGAATACCGCGTAGTAACACTTGCGCATCTGCAGACGCGCGTTCTCGGCTCATGTGTGCGTGCTTTCACATAAAGCACGCACACACGAGCAGACGAATAGACATATATCACCTCCTGCAATCGAATACAGACAATGAAACCTTCACCGAAAAACGGAGGGAGGTGTTGTGCGAGAGGAAAGAGGAGAAATGGCAGCTGCTCTCCTTTTTGGGGGGAGGGAGGTCCAGACGACGCACCGCACGAGGAACAATTCTACACCGCACGCGCGAGGCTCTCTGACGATGCGAAAAATAATAATAATAATAATAATAGCGGCATGGAGAAGAAAGGAATGAGGCTGTAATTGATTAAAGGTCATCAAAGAAACGCGATTGCTGCCTTCAGGGCCATGACATTCAAATCCAGAAAAAAAAAACTTTCCACTATGTTGTCGCTCTTCTTTCTATCTCCTTTTCAGCTGCTACTCCCGCCGCCGCCTCGAGCGACGAACTACCTTCTCTAAGCCGCTAGGCGGAACAGCAGTAGACCTGTGCAGTTCCGCCGACGCCGGCGAAGTCCGCAACGTCATTTTGTCGTGATCTGCTGCCGATGCAGCGGAATGCAGATTTGCCGACAGAGACAAGTGTGGCCGGTGCGGTGCTTTCGTGTCCTCCTCGCTGCCGCCTTCCTTCGCGTTTTGCCGGTCCGGTGTCGTTGTGGCAACCCTCGACAGCCGAACGTCGCTGTCGTGTCCCGAAGAAGCGCCGCTGGTACCGGCGCTCAGCACACTATCCGACACCCGCATAAGAAGACAGCAGGGAACCGCCGCGCTACCGCGAAAGAGACACCCCTGCGAGAGCGTCGAGATCAATAAAAAGGCCACGCTGACAAGTCCGCACGCACCTGAGGCAACGAAGCAGGTGAAGCCGGGCGCAAGCCGCGCCTCTGCCTCCTCGCGCTGTCGCACCACCAGAGAATAGTCCAGCCATAAAAGCAGCACCGTTAGTGCAGAGAAGAGTGCTGCGCAGAGCAGACAGATGAGAGCGATCGTCGCCGTTCGATTCAACGCGCAACGTCGCTGCTGTTCCCGCTCCTCGAAGGGAATACAGATGACCTGTCCGTGATTGCCTGTGGTTGTGTTACGTGAACGGACCGCCTGCGCCATGCGGACGTCGACATCATCGCTGCTCGTGCCATCACACGTCCCCGCGGAAGAGGTCATTGACATCAGCTGACGCGCGTACACCTCTCTCAAACATCTGTTATCCACCTCCTCCCGCGTACGCGCGGACTCAGCGCACGACCACGCCCTCGACAACTCGATCGACGTCACACATACCGCGAGTCCCGCGAGAACGAAGCCCGCGGCGGTGCACCGCAGGAGCAGCACATCCTCGCGGCGGTCGAGGTACGGCAGCTCCTGGCCGTTGAGCCACGCCCGTGCCCACACGTACCACTGTGTCACCCCGTAGGCGGTCTGGCAGCAGGGTAGCACATGACCGAGCAGCGCGCACGCAAGCAGCACAAAGGAGAGCAACACAACCGAGGCGCGGCATAGACCGACGCGAAAGCAGAGGTAAGGCGGGGAGGAGTAGATAGGGTGCAGGGCGAGGAAGCAGCTGCCATCGCAGGCATCACGCACAACAGCGTCTTCAATTGCGCGCTTTAATGCATCCTCCATCGTGTATGTGTGTGCGTGTGTGTGGAAAAAAAAAGAAGGGGATGAATATTTGTCGTTTGCGACGCCGTCACAAGGTCTCGATGGGTTTACCTTCCCCTTTACCTTCGGCAAAAACCTAACGTTCAATGAGAAGCACTTCACACAATTATTGTCAAAATAAAATTGGTTGCTGTCAACAATCAGCCGTTTTATTAAGTAGCATCACCTCGGTAAGGAAGCCTCTGAGAACCGCCGGTTCTCACGCTACCTTTCCCCCACGCCCTCTTCTTTTTTCTTTTCCTTTTCTTTTGGTAGAATGAAGACTGAAAAAGAAAAGAAGACGATGTCAAGCGTGTTGTTGATACACACATATATATTATTTCTCTTTGCCGTTTCTCTTTCCGGCCAATGGCATTCATAGAAGTATATATACACATATATACATATACCGCCGTTTTCTTTAATGAATCACGCTACAAATTACGCGCACGTGCCACGTGGTCCGATGAAAGAAAAACTTAAGAAAAGGAAGAATAAAAGAGAGAGAGGGAGAGAGATGTGGCGTGAATAATAATAATAATAATAAAAGCAATCGAGAAGCGGGGGCGGGGGGTCGAAATGAAGTGGACAATGGGGAGTACTTGTTAGGGAATTCGCTCTGTGTGAAAAGCAAACGAGCGCTTTGCACTGCTGATAACATATTTGTGTGTGTGTGTGTGTGTGTGTGTGTGTGTGCGTGCATGTGTGAAGAGGAGTATTCGGCTGCTGGGAGAGAGCCTCATTGATCCAAGAAGACCTTTCGAAAAAGGCCTTTCGTTGCATCCTTATCGAAGGATGCAGTTTTTGTTGTCGCCGTTGCGGCGTGCTTCTCCTCTTGATACAAGCGTTTCCTTTCGAATAAAACTGCTAGAAAAAGAAAGGGAAAAGACCAGATTAACTGCGCGGGTCGTTCAAAATAAATAAAAAAGTATTTCAATATAGTGTTTAGTCCTGCGGTTTTCACGCATGAACTTTGTCAGGCTTTTTACGAACAGAGGGCTTGAGAATACAACGTTGGGAAGCCGTCCATGCGCACACGCCAATGCACACATGCATACACGATCTCCCGCAAACGAAAGGAAGCAAAAAAAAGAGCCGTTTTGTTGGAGATGAAAACGATGATCACGTTGCTTCACTATCTCCTCTCACTGCACGGCAATTATACGCACATGTAATATATATGTATACCCTTATGCTACTATTATAACAATTAACTAGTGGATGCAATGGAAGTGTAAACGATCCTGGGCTATGCAAATACACACACACTGTAAAGAAAAAACCAACGAGGTGTACATCCCGACGGCAGAAACCAACAACATGATGGGCGAACACGTTGCATGAGACGGTGTCCGGCGACGAAGCAGCAATAAAAGAAGAATAATAGCAAGCAAAGAAGGGGGAGGGAGAGGAGAGGAGAGGAGAGGGAGACGCATTAGCACCTTAACGAGCTGCAGTCTTGGCGGCATTAAGAAAAGGAATCGCAAGCAGCTGTGCACGCTTCACAACGGCACTCGCAGCGGACATAATAATAGAACAGATATTGAATAATAATAATAATAAAGAATGCCGGTTAAGTTGGAAAGGAAGAACAAAAATTTTCTCGTCCGACTCCTCGAACACAAATTCTGCTACGCGTCTTTGCTCCTCTCTGTGCTGGCGTGCGCGAAGGTGATCTACGCTACATGAACAAAATGACAGCAAAGGAGAAGAAAAGAAAAAAAAATGGGTGGCGCCTTCGCCACTGCGCTCGAATGATGGACGCGCTTCCTACGACATCGCACGTTATAAAGGGGGAGGGGAAACGGACGGTCATGAAAGCGAGCACTTCACGGAAAGTGGTAAACCAAAAAGGATTTAAAAAAAAAAGAGAAAGAAACGATGCATGAAAGAAGATCGCAAAAGCGCTTTCGAACGCACACACAAATCGCGGCGGTGTACGGTTAAGGAGGGGGGAGGACGCAAGGCAGAAACAAAGAAAAAAGGATTACACCAAGTGAAAGTACGCTGCCTCCTTTACTACTTGAAAAGATGCAGCATTCGTGAATTCACCGTTGTCAGCGATTTCTGCTTCTCTCTTTCCCCTTTTTAAAGAGCATTGCTGCCCCTCTTGTTTGGCAAAAGCTGACCGCCAAAGGGCGAAGCAAGACGCAAAGCATAAAGAGACAAAGACGTACGCATGAACAAAACAAACATAAAGGAGAAGAAGAGAAGCGCCTATAGGCGTCGGATATCTTGGTGATGTGCCCAACACTGTAGAACAATAGAAAACAAGAAAAGGTTTTTTTTAAAGAAACTTTAATAATAATAATCGTAATAGCAATAAGAGAATTTAAAATCATACAAAGAGAACCACAAGCCAACCTCGGCGTACCGGGTCCGTCCTTCACAGTCGCGTGACAGCATAAACGGCTTCTTTTCTTTGCTTACCTTGACACAAGCGCCGTCCAGCCGGTGGTGGTCGCTGGAACACCGGAACCGAGGCAGTCGTACAGCCCCAACTGGGAGAGAGCGAGAAAGAAGAAAAACAAAGAACAACAAGATGAGAAATATGAGAAAAAACACGGCCGAATACACGCTCACAAGGAAACTACATCAGCCATCTTGCGTGCTTATATGAGCGGGCATCACTGCGAGAGAGAAAAAAAAAACACAAGCAGAGTTGAAAGATAAAAGAATCTAATAGAAGGGCCAATAACGAAAGGAGAAGAAGAACAGTAAAAGACATGACAGAAAGTGCCGAAGAGTGCGCAAGACTGTCGAGCGAAAAGAGAAAGCCACAAGCAAAACAAAACAAAAAGGTGTGGGGGGAGAGAGAAAAGCCGGAGGCGGCAGCGCATCCTTCACGGCCCCAGCACGTGTTTCTTCTTTTCTTTCTCTCTCTCTCTCTCTGCAGCGGGGGAAGAGAAACCCAAGGAGAGGGGGCATGTGAAAAGACACGGGAAGACGAAAGCATGGAAAACGGTTAGGCAAGACAGAGAAGGATGTCGAATTGACTCGTCTCGCACGCTTCTCTCTTCCCGGAGCGCGAATCACAGCCGCGGCGTCGCCTACACGCCTTTCCCGTTGCCCCCCGTGGCGTTGCTTACGTTAAACAACTGGGGCGGGGTGGTGTAGTAGTCACCAGAGGGGTAATCCAGCTGGTCTGGATGCTGGTGCTGCTGCAGCTGCTGTACCATCTCTATCGGAGGTCCGGGGAGGGCGATGCGGATGCCCTGCGCAACCGCCACGTTGTTGTTGTCGAACATGTTTGGTGCGCAGAAGGGATTTGGCCCAGTCAACATCTGCGCAGCCGGCGGCGGGAATGCAGTGTACACTGCCCCCGGCCTCGGCCGCGTACAAGAGGTGACGTCGCTTCTCGTCGCGTTGCCTGCTACACTGCCTCCGACCGCCGACTGCGAGTACTGCTGTTGCTGCAGCTCTTCGGAGTCCCTCTGTGCGTTGCCGAGCACCATCAAGTCCGCGTGTGGTGTTTGCGGAGCGTTGCACAGGTAAAGTGCCGTGAGTTGCGGGATGGCGAGGACGGTGAAGGCGATCACGGCGAGGATGAGTGCAACAATAAACAACGGCATCCCCGCACGATACCGTATGGTGTCCACGCCCACAATTAGTTTGGAGAACAGCGAAGAGATGAGAATTAAGGAGATGAGCGCGCACAGGGCAGTGGCAAGCAGCAAGGAAAAGGTTGTGATGCCCAGGTTGCGGTCGCGACGACGTCGGGTGTGTTCGGCTACTTCGAAAGGGACAAGGTCCCCGCAGGTGTTCAAAACGCGCTGATTCTCATACGGGAAGGAGTCATTGCTCATGCGACTACCTGCGCGCAGCGTCCCATACTTTGACTGCAGCGTGGCGTTCGCGTCTTCCTCCTCGGAGCGGAGGCGCTCGTCGTGGTGCCAGAAGCTGGCGTGGACCGCGGCGAGGACGAAGGCCAGCAGACTGAAGACAGCAGTGAGAACAGCGAATACCTTTGCACCGCCGGCGGATTTGTTGTCTGTCGCGTTAACGAGCTCGCCCGTCGGGGAGGAGATATGGATGTACCAAATGGAGAACATCAAGTGCAGGTCGTGCACATTGCCGTCCTGGCCAAATGGAACCACCTGGCCAACGATGGCAAACACCAGAGCGCACAGGCTGAGGACGCTCACGACGATTTGGAACGAAAAAATACGGTGGCGATAGCCGCTCGCGGAGGAGTAGCGAGGGTGGACGGCGACGTAGGTGCGTCCATGGTCGTCCCTTACAATGCCTTCCAGCTCGCCTCGCCTCGCCTGGCTGGTCGGCTGCGTGCTGTGAGACATAGGACAGTTCGGCGTTGAACCACGCTCCACCTTTGTTTTCGGTGTTTCCTTTCCTTTTTAACGAAGAGATAATTTAGAAAAAGAAGGGCGCTGCGCTGCCGGGTATTGCAAGTGCGCCACAGCAACAAGGAGAGGGCAGAAAGCACGTAGAGAAGCTGTCCTTCACCTGCGTAAAGTCAGCTGACCACGAATACGAAATACGGCTCGGTTATTACAAACGGTAAGTCATAAGCGTGTGCTGCATGTGAAAAACAAAGAAAAAAGAAATGAGGGAGAGGGAGAGAGAGAGAGAAACAAAAATAATAAGAATCCAAACACGGTGTCGACAATTAAAAAAAACCTCCTTGACAAAGCGAAAACAGCAGGAGTGGAGCTGCACTACTTGGCGACGGTCGCCGATGCATACACAGATGTCGCCCCAGTCGTGCGGAGAGAACCACAGAGACAGAAAGCGGTGGGACGCAAACCTCCGCCCCTCATGCAATACTAATTCGACTGGAATTCGCAGGAAACGCGTTTGCCGAAGAGCGACGCAGCCCACATTCTGTCAAGGCAGGTAAAACAGACGGTGAAGGCGCAAAAACAAACCAAAGCAAAGCAAAGGAGCAGCCTCGGGGTTCGACAGCTCGCTGCGTCGCTTTTACTCGCCAACGATGGACGTGCAACAGCACCGCTATACAAAGGGGGAAAACAGAATCCCCATGGACCAGCACGACTGCTGTTACACCATTTTTCTCCCGCTATTACGTTCCTTTATATATACTTTTTAAATTATATCCACAGTGGTTCACAAACAACAAACGCCTCCCGCGACGCGTCCCGTCCATTACCCGCCGTCAGCCCCTCAATGAAAGAGAGGAAGGGACTCCTTGGACGCTGAGGGCGGCCCGTACAAACTCTCACAGCGCCGCTCGAAGCTGCGCGTCATGAGCGTCACCACGTTCGACATGATCATGCGGCTGTGCAGCGGGTTCTTAAACTCGAACGACACGGAGAAAATCACCTCCACGGTGTTCGGCTTCCCAGGCACGGGGCAGAACTCCCACTCACACAGCAGGTGCTTCAGGATGGATCGCTTCGCCGCCCCGGCCGTCGAGGCGGCCTTCTTAAACAGCGACACGACGAAGCTGTCGCGGTGCGCGGAGTTGTCGTGCAGGTGTTGCCTTTCCGCGTGCGATGCAGCCGCCACGTCCGTCCCTTCGTCGTTCTCCGCGTCGTGGAGGGCGGCGACAATCTTCGTGCCTGGGTAGAGCGTCACACGAGATGTGTACTGCTCCTTCAGGAAGGAAAAGCCAATGGTCAGCGTCGCCGTCATCTCAATTGCGTCCACCAGCTCCGCCTCGGCCGCCGCGACGGTGTCGGCCGCCGACAGCGGCGTCCTGGCTCCTTCGGGTGCGGTAGATGGCGTGGAAGACCCAGTGGGGGGCAGGTTTCCGGCCAGCTGCCGCCGTCCTCGCGGGACTCGCACCCGTCGAGTCGTATGCACCTCCGACCCGGCGCACCATGGCAAGAAGTCCGTGTAGTGCTCCACGTCGGCCACCACATGGTAGAACTCCTCCGGGGACCACCCGATCGTGCAATGCTCCTCGTACAACTGCGAGTGCTGACGTGCGGACGCGTGCGGGTCGCCCTTGTGGTCGCGCCGCGCACGAGGCGCAGCAGCGGCAGTAGCGGCGGCGGCGGTGCTGCTGCGAACGTTGGCGGTGGCCGCACGGGTGGACTCATTGCCTTCCTTACGGTGCTGCTGGGCAGCTTCAATGCGTCGGTGCGCAGCGGCAATGGCGGCCTGTGCCCTCGCTACTGTGGCGTGGGTCGACGTGGCAGGGGGTAGAAGAGATGCAGATGCCGCCCCAGACCCGACGCCCGCGCTCGAAACCGAAGAAGAGGCGCCAGCAGCGGCAGTAGAAGCAGCAGCTTCGCGGCGCGAAGTGAAAGCCACCGCGTCCGTCGCCGAACTCGCGGAGTTGTTCGCGTGTCGGCGTACGAGCTTCGATAGATCCATCTGCGCAGCGGGCGGGGGCAGTGACGAGCCAGCACTAGCAGAGACGCCATCAGAAGCAGCAGCGCTATCGCGAGAAATACTCGACTGTGTCATACTATTACTGCCCGGGGCGCTGCTTCTCACATTGGCAGTGTTGACGTTCACGTAGCGGCGCAGTTGGTTATCGCGATTCAGCGATCCAAACGGCCGGGCATCCGACGCAGACGGCGGAGACGGGAAGCGAAATTTCTCCAAGGGTGAAAAGGCCTGGGGAGGCTCTGATGGCGTTGTGAGGTCGCGCAGTAAGCCCTTGCCAGGCGTTCCCGGAGTAAAGAAGGTGCAGCGCTGGGTCGTGACGAGGATGCGGTGCCCTGTTGATTCGGTGGAAGACCCCGACAGGAGAGTGGGGCTGACGCATAGCCCTAACAACGACGCGTGCGACACAGCGCTGCTGGCTTGACTCGCGCGGCGCAGCATAAGGGCGAAGCGGAACGTAGCAAGTAAAATAGAATTACTAATGTATTTATTTTCCTTTTCCTTTCTTGAGGGGAAACAGAATCAGAGGAAGAAGAAAAAAAAAGCTGAGGAGCGATGGTTTAGTTGGCTTGCGACGTATCACCGTAAAGTAATAATGCCTTCCCGATTGAGCGCGCCGCCGAGACAACCAGCTGGTCGTACGTAACTCCGCAGCAAACACTCAACATCAACGACAGAAGAAGAAAAAAAAAGGGAGGCCAGAATCAGTTCACTAGAACGCCACGACAACAAGAACAATAATAAGTAGAAACAAGTTTTGGCAAACCCCAATCTACGCAAATCAACAACGGTGCCGATTTGCTTGTCCGCTACACGCACGTTAACAGATGCAGGCGGCAGAAACGTCATCACAGGAATAACGGGTAATACGTGAGCATGTCGAGAACCCGAAGAAGAGAAGAGAGAAGAAAGAAAGAAGAGACTCGCGAAAAAGAAATACGGTCATGCGAATTAGAAGAAGACCGGGGAAAAAAAACACACCGCGCAGATAGACATACGAGCATACAGCCGTTCTCGTCGTCTTTAGGTGTACGCGCATCGGCGGTGCACGCACCCTCCGTGTGGCACACGTGGTGAGGAGAGACACAACGAATGCGACGTCAACTACGCAAAGAGAGAAGCGAGGGCGATGCAGAGCAGCAAAACTGCGTGAGGCACCCAAGGTAGCGGCGCCTGCTACGCCGAGGAGAAAGCACCATTACCACTGCATTGCCGCCTTACGTCCTGCATAGGTGCCCTGTTCAGAGAAGCAGTACACTGCAAAAATCAAAGCGGCGATGTCAGCACCGCGTAGTTTATTGTTGTGCTACATTTGCTTTCTTTTTGAAGTTCTTTTGTTCTTTCCGTATATATATATTATTAATGCGCTACTGCGCTTCTGACAAAACACACACGTACGTAGCTGTGATAGATTACATCGATGCTCATGAAAGTTCCAAGCAAGATACATGGCGGTTCTTTTTTTACTTCTCTCCTCTTTCTTTTCAGCTGTGCAACACGCCCACACACACACAGCCACACAAACTTATATACACCTACACGAATCCATCACGCAAAAGAGAAGAGAAGAAACATGAAGCGTGACAGAAAGAGAACGCTAGAAGAAAAAACAAAGAAGAAGCAAGAGTCATCCCTATATATAGGTGTGCATGTGTGTACCTTGAGTTCAACACCTTTGAGAGGGCGCGAATCGCTTCAACGGGAGAGCTCAAAACACAAACGTCAAAGAGAAAAGCAACAACGCAGAACACCAGTGTTGTGTCTGCGCAGGTGCGCTACAGCGTACATGGAGAAAACAACGAAAAAAAGGAGAAAGAAAAAGAAAAAGAAAAGAGAAAAACAGCGGTTGCTTCCCCGGCACGTGACGGTACAATACTTTTTCTTACGATGCATGAAAGGAGAGTGCACGGCAGTAGGCAACACCGTCCCAGCTACAACATGATTACATAAGAATCTTGATTTACAAAACAGATGGAAGGATTCTCCTACATACACACACACACACACACACACACACATACACATCCACACATCTTGCTACGCACGATTTCCATGGGCAGACACAACGAGTCGCAGCTGCTCCAACTCTGCCGCCTCCAACTTGTGAATCACCCCTTCGCGGTGCTTCGACAGCTGCCGCTGAAACTGGACCTCGTCCCGGCGCTCGCTGGCCTGCGCCTGCCGCTGCTGCTGCGCCAGCTGCGCCTCCTCCTGCAGCTCCATCCGAATCGCCGTAGCAGACAGCAAGTCCGTCTGCGTATGATCGGCACGCTTCGCCGCAAACATCTTCCTCTCCCCGCGTCCACGCTCCGCCCGGGTCCAGTTCGCCTCCCGCGCCTTTGCGCGCGCCTCGAGGGTGCGACGGGGGTAGAGCTCCCGCTGCTGCTGGGCCGTCTCACGGTTGAACTGCAGGTGGGCCTCGTCGAGCTCCGCCTTCCACGCACGGCGGGTTTGGGCCTCCGCGGCGTTTACCGGCGCGGTGTTCGGCGAGGGGAACTCCTGCGTCCACAGCTTCACCTCGTTGAAGAAGTTCGTGGAGGTAGGGCCGACAAGCTGCGAGGGTGGCGTGGGGGTAACGGGACGCACGTCGTGGCTGTCCTTTTCCTTCTGTGTGACCGCCGTTGCGGTTGCCGCGGTCACCTGCGCAGGGATTGGCGGCATCGTTGCCGTAGTGGTGCTGGTGGAGGTCGCTGGAGAGGAGGGCCTACTCGTTGCTGCGGCGCCCAGATGGCCGTCGGCAGGGGCCGTCTCCTTTTGCTCGTTGCTATGCACACTCGACTGCCCGTCTGCACGCGGCGGCTGACCTCGGCGACTTCGCAGGCGAGTCAGCACACGCTTCCGCAGCTCCTGTTGCCGCGCCGTTGTCTCCGCGGTTTCCTCCATCGCATAGCAGGCGTACAGCTCCCGCGCTTGGGTGCGCAGGGAGTGGTTCAGCTGCGCGGCGCGGCGCTTCTCCGCGTCCTCCTCGCTGTGGCGCTGCCGCTCGCGACTGCGTGAGATGCGGGGCCTATCGGACATCCACGTTGCGAGGGCCACCCGCTGATCCGTCTGACGCTCCTCGAGCTGCCTTGACACTGTCTGCCGCTGCTTCTCAGCGGCGTCTTGCCGGCGGGCCTCCTCGGTGAAGTGGCGCTGCTGCTGCTCCATGCGGTGTAGCTGACGTGCTCGCACGTGATCCTTCACAACACGCTGCGGGTCCAACACGTCCTCTTCGTCGTCGCTGCCGGGTCCGGTTCGCCTGGCCGTGGAAGGGATGGTGTAGCCTGAGAGAGAGGTGGGGTCGGGGTAGGTAGCGCGGAGGTACGCATCGGGCAAGTCCACCGCCTCGCCTTTCAGCTTGCGGGCGCGATAGTGTAGAACGTGGGCGGCGTGCTTTTCTTTCGACTCCGCCTGCGCCGCTGCCTTCGCTGCCCGCTCCGCCTCGAGGGCCCGCCAGCGCTGCTTCTCCAGCTGCATTTGTGCTTCTCTGGAATACAGCTCGGGAAAATCGTAGTAGCCCCCGGTGGCCGGAACGGTCATGGCGAACATCCTTTGGTGCTGGCCATCGTCGTTGTCCTTGTCCGACTCCGCCGCATTTCTTGTTGGGAGCTGCGAGAACTGCGCGTAGGACGACGAGGCGAGATGGCGACGCTTCCACTGCCGATAGTTCTCCTCCCGCTCATCCCACACTGCCGCACCGCTCTTCGCCGACAGGAAATTGCCGCCGTTGTTGATGCGGGGGTGGTCGTTGGTCGCTGCTTGGTACCGCCGCAGCGTCGGCGACGTGTACTGCCCGTGCACGTTCGCCGAATCACGGAAGTCCGTGAGCGACATATCCTCCATCCCTTGCACTTTTCGTCCAGACGAGGCAGGCGCCGCAGTGTTGGCAGCAGCAGCAGCAGCAGCAGCAGCAGCAGCGGTGGTCGTCGTCGTCGCTGCGGCCTTGACGGCGTACAATCCCACCGTGCCCACACCAAAGCTCGTGGTGTCCTCGCCGTGAAAGAAAAAGTTGGCGCAGCTGATGTCGGAGTTCTTGGAGAAGTTGTTGACGTAGTTGTGGCTGCGGCCGCGCGGCGGGGGAGGCGAGAAACGGGCGTCCCGCATGGTGGGGTGCCGGTGCGGCGGCGGCGCTGCTGGTTGCGGCTTCGGCGGCGGCGGCGGCGGCGCCATCTCATTTGTCGCACCGGCGGCCTCTTTTGGGGTCTTCGGAGTGCCGGCGAGCTCCGCAGTTGCGCGTGCTGGCATGAGAATGGACTTTTCCGTACCGGCCTCTCGTGCGGAGGCTTCAGGAGACGTCACCGCCGTCTGCTGCTCGGCGAGCCCGGCGGCAGCGTCGGTGAGAGAGGAAGAAGGCGCATGCGACGAAGGGTTATCAGAGGGCATTGCGGTTGCCGTCATTGCTGTAGCAGCGGTGGCCTCCTCTTCCGCGGCGGTGATTGTCACGTCGCCTTGCTCGGAAACAAAGAGAGGTGCCGTACCGGGAGGAGGGGCGACGGGTTGGTTTGCTTCCACGATATCCGTGCCACTGCCGTTTGAGGGGTGGACTTTCCCTGGCGCAGCCGAAGCGTTGGACGTGGACGCCTCCTTCACGTCTGGCGACGACGTCGGTGGGAGGGGCGGTGTGGGGGAGCTCAACCCGGAAGACGCGCCGGACACCGTTAACGGCTCCTCCGTCATCGTCTGCTCCGTCCTATACGTCGATGTCGGCTGTTCGTTCAGCTGATGACGCGCACTGCCACTCATGGGTGGGCTCGAGAAGAGCAAAAAAAAAAACGACGCAGAGTACGACAGAAGAAGTAGAAGAATAAGAAGAATAAATGCAGCAGCGGCGGCTTCGCAGTCCAGTGGGGGTCCGTAGTCTCTCCTCCACGGGCACGAGAGGTGCTACGACGTGTGCGCAGTCGACGCAGGTCCGTTAAGCTTTAGAAACGGGGAAAGAGAATGGCCGTTTCGGAGAAAGAAAGAAAAATCAGAAAGCCAGGCTTCGGTGGAGGTAGAGAAAGTGAAGGACTGTCGGAAGGCACTCCCAACGCGCTTCACGACTTCTAGTGCTCCTTGGCACGGCGAACAAAATGGCTCCTCTTTAGCTTCGCAACGCGCCAAGCCCTTCATTTTAGGACAGCGCGCTCCAACGCATTCTCTTATCACATTTCGTACTTTTTAGAAGCGACGCCGCGCGTTCACAACGATCCCTCTCGGCCACAATTAGAGGCTCGCCGTTTTACCTCCAGAAATAATAATGATATTTTAAAAGGGAAAAAAGAAAAACGAAGGAGACTCTCTTCTTCTACGGTGGTCTGCTCCGGAGAAGAGCTCCTCTGCACACGCCGGAACAGACGCACGCGCACGCAGCAGTAACGCATTGAAAACCTTCGGTGTCCTTCTCAGCGAACATCAGCGCAATAGAAAGAAACAAAAGAAAAAGTTACCTTCGCAGGCCCGTGCGTCTGCCCTGTTGCTGCTCCTTCTGCACCCGCAACCCGCGCAGCAGACGGCTCACCCGCTGCCCAGACGTTCCCAGCACGTCTTGTTCGTGTTGCAGCATCGGCGCAGACGCAGACTTTAGCGGAGACGGGAGTGGGATGAGCATGTCAGCGGCCTCTGCTACCGCACCGCTGGTGGATGGCGATGATGGACGGAGCGGTGGGAGTAACTGCGGCGTCACGGCTACATGTTGTGGTCCTCGACCCCTCTCTCCCACCCCCAGATGTGAAGAGGAGCCAGCGGACACGAGCGCGTCGACTTGCGGATTCAGAGGAGGGGGAGGACCGTCCGGGTGCGGTTGGGCGGTGCGCGCCGAGAACCCAAACCGGTGCGCTGGCCCCTGTGTGCGAACCGTCGGACGGCTCAGGTTGGGAAGCGCCACACCGGCTGTGGTGCCGGTCGTTCGCTGCCTTTGCTGCTCATTGGGACCATAGACCGGCCCCTGCTGTTGGCGTCTGGGGTCTGCCGCGTCGCTGGGCGCAACCGGCATCGGCGACGGCGAATCCCGCAAACGATTGTTGTTGGCCTCTGGACTGAAGGAGAATGAGAACAAAGCCGACGGAGCAGCAGCGGGGGAAAAGGCACGAGGAGAACTCTCCGGAACCGGTCGAGCGGTGGTGGCCTTCTCACCTTTCTTACTGCTGCAGTTCCCTTGAGAAAAGTTATCGGGCAAAGGGCGGGATAGCCGGCGGGGTGGGCCACGTTCATGTGACGGCGCCGAGAGCACCGGTGTGACGTCCTCCACGCCCATTTCATATTGCAGTGCCGACTTGTTATTTGCCTGTGCGCGCGCGCGCTGTTCTGCGTAGTTCGGGTTTGCGAGATACGCTGCCGGCTCAGGTGGTGGTTCTTGCTGCGGCTGATGATGATGCGGCTGGTATTGTGGTGGTGATGGTCGTCGTGTTGGTGCTCTATTCGTGGCCACCTTCGCCCGCTGGAATGTGCCGAGAAGATCGCGTGTGAGTGGAGGAGTGCGAGTCACACCATCGCTGCCATTCCAGCCCCTGTCCTGACGACTATTCATGAGTTCAGCGGCGCCTACCACTGGGTCGTCGTAAAACTTTTCTTCGTGCTGGTACTGCCGCGGATGCTGCAGAGGACGTATGCTGTGAAACGGAACATTGCGAGCCGACCTCGGTGCTGCCGCCTTGCTGAGGAGATCCGTTCCTGCTGGAAGCGGTGACGAAAGAGTCGGTCTCGCTTTGCGTCGTGTATGCGCCGGTGCGAGCGAGGCGGCTCCGGCAGAGCTGCCCTCCGCTCCTCCGCTGACGCTATCATTCGGTGTCGTCGCCTGGCCATCCGCTGCAGAATTCTGCGGCGTCCCAATCAGTGGTGGTCGTGGTCGTGGTGGTGGTGGCCGATACTGCGCTGGCGGCAGACGCGAAGACGGAGTGTCCGCCCACAGCGGAGAGGGCGAGGTGCGGGAGAGGGGGGTGCCGCCACCGGGGTGCAACGATCGTTGGTAGGCGCCGTAGTAATTCGCTGCACCGGCTGCCGGCGGCAACGACTCACCACCACCAGAGACGGGGTTGATCGGGCGAGGGCGTAGCGGCTGACCCGCCATCACGCCAGACGAGCGCCGAGCACCGGCGTTCCCGTGCGCCGCATTCGTCGGCGGTGGGGTGGTAGCGAAGGGGGAAGCGGCGGGTTGCGGTGGTTGTTGTTGCTGCTGCGGATGTCTCTGATGCTCCTGATTCTCGAGCTCGGCCGGGTTGGCCGTGGCGACGGGAGACGGCGGTGGAGGTGAAGGCCCAAACGGAACGTTGCTGCGTCGACGGCGCGGCTGTCTTCTTTGTTGCGACCGATGCGAAGATGCGCCGGACCCGTCGGTGCCGTCGTCCACGTTGGGGGTCGGCTCCACCGCGTAGAGGAAGTCGCTGGGATGAGAAAGAAATGGCGGCGTAGCGTACGCGGTGCGTGGCGAAAGGTGTTGCTGTGGCGTGCGATGTGGTGAAGCCTGGCGAGGTGCGGCGTGCTTCGGTAGATTCGCCTGCGACGGCAGCGGCGGCGGTGGTGCAGGCAGCAGCTGCTGCTGATGGAGTGACTCGGACATCGAAACGGGCTCGATGGCAGGCGACGGCAGCTGCGCAGGTGAGAGTGCGGCGTGGATGCTGCGGTTCCCGTTACTGCTGCTACTGCGGTTGCTACTGCGCGAAGGACGTCCTCGGCGCCACCACAACGGGATCAGCCGTTGCCCCAGTGCACCGAGCTTCCCCAGCGCACCGCCACCGCCGCTGATGCAATGTGCCTTGGTGTATCGGCCATTGTGCCGCTCCGCATGCTCCGATGCCTCAACGGCGTGCGGCTGCGGCAGTGCCACCGGCACGGCGCTCAGCGTCGTGGAGGAGAAAATTGGATCAGGCGTCCGCGTCAGGAAGGGCATTGTGCGGGGGAGGTGGCTGCGGTATCCAGCCCGTCGCTGATGCACCTGCAGACAGCTAGACGGCACCGAGGACGCCAGCGACGAGCCGCGGCTTCCGTGATGGCTAGTGCGATAGTGGTAGGGAGTGGTGTTGTCGCCCCCGGGTAGCACCTCGCACACCACCTCGCCGTCGTGCGCGCCGAGGGAGCTGACGGGGCTGACAGAGCCACGAAACCTCACCAGCGGCGTGGCGAAGAAGTTGGCAGGGTGCAGTTTGGAAGAGTCGGTGCGGTGAAGTGTCGCCGGCAGCGAAGGCGGCAACGCCGGTTGTACGCTTCGTAGAAGAGGTTTCTGTCGCTGCTGCTGCTGCTCCGGCTGCGCAGGCGGGTAGGAAGGTAGCTGCTCTCCCGCCGATCTCACAGCCATACTGGGCAGCAGCGGACGCACGAGAGGGGTCGGTGATCGTAGCGCCACAGGCACCTGCTCTCGCCGTACAACAGCACGCGGGTCGGCGGAAAGCCGGTGCGGAGAGGACAGCGGAACAGTGCGTGGAAAGGGTGTCAAGTCTGTTTGCGAGCAGACAGAGCGACGACGCGCGGGTGGTTCTTTCGTTGGCACCGGGGTGGGAGAAGACTCCTTGCACGTCTTTGCGTGGCTCATCAGCGTGTCGGCCGTAGACGGAGCAGACGTGCTTCGTAACGCGGCCGGCATGGGAGTGAGAGGAGGGCCGACGGACGGGGAGGGACGGCGCTGCAGGGGCGACGGCCCAACGCACGTGCGTAAAGGCTTCTCGGCACGAGGGCTGTTCAGCGGCGACTGTTGGTGCTCTTGCTGCTGGTCCTGTAAGGCAGAGGAGGAAGAAGGCGACCCCGGCGGTGACGCGCGTGGCGCACCCCTCGGTGAAGCATGAGCCGCCGCGCCGCCGCCGTCGCCGCGTTTACGGCGCATTTTCTTCTTGCTGCGTCGCGACAGCAGTGGCTTACGTGTGTGCGGACGTACATGTCCTGCAGCCGCTGCTTCGAACTTACTCACTTGCCTTCCATCCCCCTCCGGCTCCGGTGGCAGACGGTGGCGGCACCGCTGCTGCACCGGTGGTGTCCACTGCTCGAAGGCGTGCAGTAGCGCGCTCGTCTCCATCGAGGAGGAAGTACTGGCGCTGCGGCTGACCGCCGTGCCTGCCATGGCGGGGATGATGGACGGGGCTAGCTCCGTGCCGGGCGTGTTTTCCAGCTGCGCCTCGCGCGCTGCCCAGCCAGTGCTGGCTGATCGCGGTGTCCGCCTCGCGCTGGCGTCTGACGCCTGACGTGGCATCCGCCGTGAAGGTGGTCCTGCGGTGGGGGCGACGGCTCCCTCCTTCACCGCAACCGCGGTCCCCCATTCACGCGCGTGCGCCGTGTTCACGTCGGCTGCGTCTTCTGCAGCGGCGGCCATCGTGGTGGTGGTGGTGGTGGTGGTGGCACTCTGGAGGGGATGCACCGGCGGCACACGTGTCACTGCAAGATCTCCGTTTTTCACTGCTGCCGAATCGAGTGGCACCTGAGTTGAGGACGGCAGCTCCTGCATACGGGGCGAAGTCGAACGCTGTCGAGCGCGACGCAGTGGTGGGTAGGAGGAGAGAGTAGTAGCAGCATCAGTGGTGGTAGACGCGGGCGATGTAGTGTCTCGCACAACAATCGCAGCAACTTCGCCGTGGGGAGTGAAAAGAGAAGAACGAGGAGCGGCGGCGTGTGCTGCGGCCGAAGCAGACGGGTTCACGCGACGAAGCGGCGAGGTACGTGCGGCGAGGTCCCGGATGACGGGGGCTGTCCTCGTCGCCTGCGCCGGCAGCGCCGCGGCGGTTCGCGCTGACCGTGAGCTGCGCGCCCCGCACGGTATCGCGTGTACGGCGAGTCGTCGGTTAGGTTGAGAGAGGGATGGCGCCGCAGTCGGTAAGGTGTGCGACGCCGGCAGCGCTGCGGGATGCATTCCCTCAGTCGTTCCTTCTCCGACTGGAGGTGTGGTGTGTAGCGGTGGTGTTCTCAGCGGTGCGGCATGCGGCAGCGTGACATCCAGCTGTTGGCCCCTCTCACCTGCGCACACGTCCTTTTGCGTAGACGTGCGATCCGCTTCCTTCTCTGCGGGGGCGGCGGGTTCAGTGGGACTGCTCGGCGGGGACGAAAAGAAAGGCAGCGGCTCTGCTGTCAGTGGATGTCCCGGCGGAGGGGTCGTGCTGGACGGCGCCAGTGCGGCGGAGCTGAGAGAGGAGGCACGCTTACGTGACGGGGTCGCCACATCGGATGACGTTATCGTGGATGTGACAGTACCCCTAGCCTGCGTCAGCGATTGGTCGGCATCGTGTTGCCGCTGCCGCGGTTGTGGTGAACGCCGTTCTTCTTCCTTTCTCTCGTGCCTCCATAAAATGGTCGCGCTCTGCGGCCTCGCTGCCGCGGGTGATGCCGCAGGCAGCAGCGCAGAAGCCTTGTCACCTGTCACGAGGCGCACCGGCACCGAAGGAGGCAGCAGCTGCAGCAACAGTACCGCGTATGGGGAGGACTGCGTTGCTCGCCGCACTTTTTCCTTACGCGCACGCAGCACCACTCGCGCCCCGCGTGCAGACACTGCGGCGGCAGCGGAGACCGTTTCTGCAGAGCCGTGCCTGTCTTTTGTCAGGGACATCGTGTCCGACCCTTTCTTTCTGGCCTCGTCTTCCGCACCTTCGTCTTGCGCTGCGGAAGCCGGACGAGCTTCTCGTTGTTGCTGCAACGGGGGTGGACCGACAAACTCCGGCTTCGCTGCTGCTGCTGCTGCTGCTTCTACACCGCCCCCCGGCTGTCCAGGGAAAAAGAATGGCTTCCACTCCTGCGTGCGCGTGTCGGTCAACCGCAGCGATGGCGCCGGCGGCGGCGGCGGCGGCAGCGGCGCGCTCCACTCAGACGACGCCGCGTCGGAGACGAGCGCGACGGAGAGGGCCGAAATGGCTGAAGATGTCTGCGTCGTGCCGTGCTGCGAGAGCGAACACTGCGGTTCCTGCAGCAGGAGATGTGGTGGTGGTGCGGCGGGTGCTGCTGGGTGCAGCAGCGGTGGAGGCGGTGACGGCTTAATGGCGTAGGGGATCGGCGAGGTGGTGAGGCTGCCGTAGCGGTGACGGTCCCTACAGGCCAGTAGGACGGTCACCTGTGACGTGGGAGAGGAGGCGGCGGGGGAGCTGGAGTGTGGAGGTGTCTGTTCTGGCTGCGCCTGCAGACCGTGTTGTCTTTGCAGTGAGGGCTGCGGAGAAGGCTGCACCGGGCCAGTCGAGGCAGCCGAGGCGGACATATCAGTGCTGCTCGGCAACATCGTCAAACCAGGCACGAAACCCATCGTGAGGGGTTTCGGGGAGGCAAAAGAATGCGGGGAGATGACGGTGGCGTCGCCTCTCTTCTCATCGTCGCCCATCGGATTGCCGCGGTTGTTGCTGTGGCGTCCACTGTGAGTAGTGCAAGGGACGACATTGCTGTCTGCCGTGGTGATGGTGGAGGCGGTTAACGTGAGATACCGAGCAGCGGTCTCGATGATCGGCGGCGAGTTCGGCTGCGTGGCTTGCGCGTCACTGCTGCTCGAGATGCTCAGCAGATTCGCCACCCTTCGGCGTTCCTCCGCCTCCCTTGTCGCCTCCGCCTCGGATGCGGTGGGTTGGGAAAGAAGAAGGTCGTCGCCTGTGCTGACGCCCTCCTTGAAGAACGCGGGAGACGGCATGGCTTCCTTGCCGCTACTGCTGCTATGAACGCCTTCATCGCACTTCGGATCAGCCGTCTGCGTCTTGGCGGTGTTTGTGATCTCGTTATCAAACGACATTGGCAGCGGTGGGGCATCCAGTACCAACTCCATTAGCACACGCGGCGCACTGGAAGTGCTGCGAATGTCAAAAGGATAGTCGGACAATCTACTACTCTGATTTTCCGCCGATGGAGTGCGGCGTGCGACCGGGCTCTGCTCCTCCACCATCGCCGCTGCTGACGGCGCAGTTTGAGGGGATGCCGTGGCAACAGACATGGGCAACAACACCAGCGGTTCAGCACGTCCACGCCCCATCGGTGGGCCCGCGGCGGCGGCGGCGGCGTCACCACTGTTCTTGACGTCATTACCACCACCACCCATGCGCTGGGCCCCACGCACAAAGAACTCGTGGGACGCCGCCGGCACCAGCTGCGGGGCCGCGGTGAAGCGCGCGTGGTGGCGATCCGCGGAGTCCGACCCGCTCCCGCTTGTGATGTCCGCCGTCACGTCGGTGCCCAACGGCGACGTAAATGACGGCTCCATGCGACCGGCGTGGGCTGTGATGTGTGAGACGCTGATCGCGCCTTCTCGGTTCACCGTTGAGAGGAAAGGCTGCACATCTTTCTGGCCTGACACATCTGTCGGCGGCTGCGTGGCGTGCGGAAGGGAGGGGGATTGGTCCAGCCGTGTGAAAACGGCGGAGAACGTGCTGGGAGGAGACGTAATAGTGGTATCGCCAGCGGTGCCGACGTCGTCACGGCTGCTGTCCTTCGCAGTTGAAGGCGGCTGCGCAGAAGGATCGCTGGAATGCGTAGGATTCGCTGCGCGTATCGGCGAAGGCGAGGACAGGGACGTCCTCACGGTCAACTGCACGTTGCTGTGCGTGGACGTGGCGGTCGCCTCCACTGGCGGGATGGGGCCGCTCCGCAGCGCCTCCTGCAGAACGGGCCCCAGACCGTCAAGGGACAATATAGCCCTCCCGGAGAGACGGGACGCGGAGAGCGACATGGGCTCGCGGGTCGTGGGCGGAAGCTGCGGCGACGCCGGTGCCTCGTGCGCGCCTCGTTGCTGTTGCCGCGGCGGTTGGTGGTGCGACGAGCCCGCTGACGTCTCCAAGTTTGCGTAAAGGTTGAGCAACGATGTGTCTGCTCTGCTGTTTGGTGGCTGCGAGGATGTCGCTGCGGCGGCGAGCGGCTGGAGAGCTGCTTGGTCGGGCGGTTTGTTTTCGCGCCCGTCCTGACCGGCGGATGCACCCTCGAGAATCGTCGGAGGCCCATGCGGTGATGGCAGTGACGTTTTGGTTCCTCCGTCAGCAGCGGTAGAAGAAGGCCGTAGAGGAGAAGAGGAGGCGAGCAGCGGCGGCGAACGTGCAGCCGGCTTCGACATCGCCTCAGTCTCCGTGGAATGCGGACTATCACCGAGCCCCTCGCCTGGCGTCGTCGTCGCCGCTGCGGACTTCGCCGTCCGTCGAAGGTACACCCGTGGTGCCGTGCAACGACTCCTTTCCTGTGTCTTTGCAGGACGCCGCACGGCCGCATCCCAACCTGTTCGAGCAGCTCGTGACATCGCCTTTGGTACTCCATCACCGTTGACGTTAACGGCGGCAGCCGTCTTTTCATTCCCGCCGGAACCTTTGCTGTTGAGCAGACGTGCGGACTGTCCTCGCCCAGACCCGCGAAACACCCAGCGCGTCATCGCAGAAGCTGACGCGTTAGACGGGTCAACCGCCGGCTTCAGTGATGCATCTGTGGTACCGTTAAGATGTGGTGGTGGTGGTGCTTGTGCTACCGCCGCCGCATAGCTGTCCGCCTCACTGTCGCTGCGCTGCGACGCCGCGGAGCTGCTCAGCGTGTCCACCATCGAGTTGCCCCACGAGGAGTCGATCTGCGAGCCGGGCGCGTGCGTCATGTCCGTCAGCGGCGGTGGCTGCGAGTCGGGGGAGTTCGTGGTGGTGCGCAGACCAGCAAAGCTGCGACGACTGCCGCAGCCACTCAGAGTGCCAGCGTCACCGACCACCGGGAGAAAATCCTCCTTCAACGCGGCTTCGTCCACGAGGGCAGCAGACGCAGCAGCACCGTCACCGCTATCTACTTCACTGTCCTCCATCGGCCTACCTCGCCCGCGACGGTTGGGGTACGGAGGTGAGGTGCTCAGCGTAGGCAGCTCTTGAATGTGAAAGCGGACGGTTACGCTGCTGCCGCCGCTGCTGCTGCTGGGCACGCTCATCACCTGCGTCTGGCTACCTCGGTTGAAAATGCTAGGGGGACGGTAGACCTGTGTGCAAGCGGTGTGTATCGCGCTCCCTGCCATGTCCTCCGTGTGGGACGGAGGGGAAAGGCTAGGCGTGCTCAAGGACGCCGTTGGCACGCTCTCCGCCGTTGGCACGCTCTCCGATGGCGAAGGGCGCCCCTTCGGCAGTGGCGACGCTGCCTTGGAAATAGCGTTCACCGATAGCGGCGGCGGCGCCCGCCTTTGCGCATTGCCGGTGGTGTTGCCGCTATGCGTTGTGCGTCCTGCGGGCGTTTGTTCGGTGAAGCCCGCATGTAGATCAGCTCTTCGCAGCAGGCGGAGATCGATAAAGGTGTTCGACGTGGGTGGGGCTGCGCGCTGCGCTTCGCCGTTGGAGCCAGAAGGATTGGGGTCTGCTGCGTCGCTGGAAGATTGATCTTCGCTTGTGACGCTGGTACCGTCGGCAGCAGAGGCCGTCGCAGGTGGCACGTTCGGCGTCAGCTTCAGCGCGGTGACCGCGGACTCGGCCCGCTGCGAGGGGGGTGAGTTCTCCTCATTAGGCGTGTTTTGAAGCAGTGTCTGTGCCTGCGGGGCGCCGGCTTGGCGTGGTCCATCCGCACCTGAGGCAGCGGTGTTCAGCTCCTGCGCGTTGCTGTTTCGCTCTATCATTGGAGTAGGCTTTGCTTGGCTCACTGCGCCTACAACGCCGTTGTTCGCATAACTGCCATTGGCCGCGCCGTTGCTGTCAATCGCAAGAGATGTCGATGCCATGGCCGGAGAATCACTGAAGTAGGAACAGTCGATGTGTATCGTCAACAACACGAGAAGGGGAAGAAAAACGAGGCGACAACGGCCGATGGGCACGTCTTTCGCTCCGCTAAGGCGGATGGGAAAAGGCTCACGCTGCCAAAAATAATAATGATACTACTAAGAAGGCGGAAGGGATGCTCTTTTCCCTCGCTTGTCCTTCCAACAGCACGTCAAAAAAAGGAAGCTGTCACGCAGCACCCGAAGTGGAGAGAGAGAGAGAAGAATCCCAAAAGAGAAAATAAAATCCACCTTGCTCCTCTTCTTCACAGCCACGCTGCGTCAGCACGCCGTGAAGCTACAAACAACAACAATCAAATTCTGAATAATAAAACCCTCGAAAGAAACAATTTGTAGTATAAAAGGGAGGGCCGTGCGAACAACGAAAACCTGAAGATGCCAATGTATATTATTATTAATGTGAATGACGGTTCATATATACGCACATATACGAAGGTGTTCGCCACAAGTTCAAAGGGTAAAAAGAAAGGGGGAGTAGAGTATATAAAAGGAAGGCTGTCGCTTGTGCGCAGCAGCGAAAGCCACCTGGAGGTGCAGACAACAACGCGTGCGGTGATGCTCGCTCAAGATGAAGGTAAACAACAACAAAATCAGGCACTGCAACGCAGCAGGTCGACAAGAAGAGAGAGAGAGAGCTCACGAAATATACTGGCACACAGAGTACAATACAGCCGAATCGATAAAGCACAAAGACGATGATGATAAAAACAAAGCACCGATAACTGGTACAAGGAAAAATACAACAATAAGGAAGAGAATGGCGAAGAAGAGAACACCCAACGCAAAACGACGGGCAGACACACTACACAGATACCAAAAAAAAAGATAGAGAAGAGAGTCTTCAGAGACGGATCTGCGTCAGGGAGACTCAGCGAAGACAGCAGAGTGAGTGCACATCATACAACACACAAAGGAAGAGCGGGAATGATGTCTAACCGTTAACGCAGGTCATATATATATATTCAAAGGGTGAACATACACAAAAGGAAAAAAGCCAACACTGCAGTCAACGAAAAAAAAAAGAACACGATGAGTGAGAACGCCACCGAAGGCAAAGAGACGTTGTAATAGTACCAGTAAAACCCCAAAAGAAAGCACAAGCTTGTAGTTCGCAGAAGAGGCCGAAAGAGCGAGCGCAAGAGAGAAGCTGACACTCACAGAAGTAAAAGATAGAGGGAAGAAGAAGTTACTCTTCGCGTGGATTTGCGCGGATGCAACGGCGTTGCTCTTTACAAAAAGAAAAGGAAAAATGAAGTTATTGTGGAACGCAAACAAAAATACTTCGCAGAAACACGGGGAAAAAAACACACACACACTGAAACCAAAAGCGTAGGCACAGCTATGTTCTGTCGGATAAGCGCAAAATCAAAGATCCGCAGATCATCTAAAAAGAAAGGGAATTTCCAAAAGAAAAGAGAGTATACCGCTTCGTTTTCTTCTTTCTTTTTCTTTTACAAAAATTGAAGCTCCCTTGGCGGAGATAGATCTAATTGCATGAAGAAAAAAACAAATCTGCTTGGTTCGGTGTGCGACAGAGCGCAAACAGTAACAAATTCCCAAGAGAAGATAAATAAGGCAAATGGAGAGCCGATGAAGAAGGAAAGGCAAACAAGGGAAAAAAAAACTAGAGAAAAGGGGAAATGAGAAGATAATCTATTTCTCCAACCGGGAGTTTTTTCCTTTTCCTTTTTTGATGGTGGCTCCGTTTACGTGGAGCTGTGCAATTCAGTACAGAAAGAATACAAGGGGAAAGAAGAGGCAAGAGAAGAGAAAGGGAGAAAAAAAAACGCTGAGCTCGTAAGACGCCGATGCAATTGAAAATATATCTTCAATTTGTTTTCTGGACTAGCCTGTTCTTTCTTATTTTTAATGGTTGACTCGAGAAACACGTACGTCTACGCTTGTATGTGCCGCGCCTTTGCGGAGAGAAGCACGAGGGACGTTCAACGACGGTGCCCGACCAGCGTGTATGTTTGGCAGAGGGAGAATTCGTGGGCGTGGAAACATCATCAAGAAAAAGAAAGAAGGAGAGAGAGACGGAAGCGCAGGAAGTGGTGTCCAGAGATGGACCAGAGGCGGAAGACGCGCAAACAAAAGTAAAACCACGCAGACGGAGTCAACCATCGAAAAAGCCCGGTACTTTCTCTTCCTCACCACCTCTGAGGCGGTAAAGTTGGTTTGCTTTTTTCTTCTTCTTGGGACCGTGCGGCACTCTTGAAACGCGCAACGACAGCGACTTGTTTGGGTGGTTCGCTCTCAGCTGCGAGCACGCCATACGCAGTGCGCCCATCGATGAGCCGTTTGGCATCGCTGTCTTTCCATCAGACAAAGAAACGCTATCCCTCTCTTCGTTTACTTGTTTGGTTGCTTGTCTGCTTCTTCTTTTCTTTTCACTGCGCTACTTCATTCGTCTCGCGTTGAAACCGCCCAACTTCAGGCTCCGATGAAGCAGAAAAAAAAACCGAAAAGGACGTGACGACCAGTAGGAAGACAACGTTGGAGGGCAGGTGCAAACCCAATTTAAACCTCCAACGTACACGCCACACAACTACACAACTACCTCGCGCTTCTACAGAAGTTGCAGCGTCAGAGAGATGGAGGGAGGGGGGGGAAGGCGGCCTTTTTGGGGGGCGTCCTGCACACCCACCAAGGACGCAAGGCAAAAGAGAAGATATATAATTCATAAAAAGAAACGATGTAGGCAAAGAGGCAGAAAGACCACGGATAACAACCACCATAACCAAACAGCTAATACACCAAGGAGTGCGACGAAATCAAGAAGGACACAAAAACAGTCGTACTAATAACAAAGACGTACATAACCGGCCTGCTTATGTATACATATATAGCTGTACCTGTCCTACGTCGCCGCGGCAGTTTTATGCGAGATGCAAACTCGTAACAAGAGATAGAGAAGGCCATGGAGAAAGAAAAGAGACAAAAAAACACCACGTAGATGAGCGAAAACCCCTGCGGGGGCAACACGACACAGAACAAAAAAGAATCTATCAGCACAGATGTTTTAAAAAACAAACTACAAGGCACACGAGGCCCAGGCGATGTACATCGACGGAGCACGAAGAGAAACGCACCTTCTCACCGCCAAACAAAACAAACAAACAACGTGAACCAAGATTTTCCTCCGTCTAGGTGCTCTAATAGTAGCGCTTCCCGCCCTCGACCTCGTGGCGAGTCTCAGATGCGATCCATGGCTGCTGTTGCGGCCCGCTGCCTCGACGGTCTGACGGAGTGTATGGTGCCGCCCGACGCTGTGGTCGTGGCTGCTGCGACGGAGCGCCGTCCTTCCCGAAGTAACTTGCGATCCCCAGCTCCTCCAAGGTGGGCAGCCGGCCGCGGCGCTCCTCCGTAGTGACCTCGTTCGCCGTTTGTTGGTTGAATGTCCAGGTCTGCGTGTTGGGTCCGTCAGTGCCGTACGGCGACGGCGCCGCCACGAGACGCTGCCCGTTAAGGCTGTGCTGTTGGTTGTGGCTGCCGGGCTGCAGCGGTTTGTTGCGGTCCGGTGAGGCGCTGGCGGAGGTGCTGGTAGAGTGAATTTGGTAGACACGATCTTCCGGTTGCTGCTGCCTTGAGAGTCGTGGCTGCCCGTTCGTGATCGTCGGATACGGCTGCGGCTGCTGCTCCATCTGGTGTGAGGTCATGGAGGGGAAAATAAATGCCTCCTGCATCTTGGGTAAGAGGATGGTCGTGGTGGTCACCGTGGTGACGGTGGTGACGGTGTACTTCTTCCGCAGACGGTGGCCGTCGACCTCGTCGAGAGTGCTGTCGGGCATCGAGGACGCGGGGCTGGCGGAGTGAGAGGGGGAGTGCGTGGGTCGGCGCTGCGGCGGGGGTGGTGCGCCGACGGAGCCACGGTGAGGCCGTCTTTGCTGCTGTGACGGTCGCCGGCTGCCGTCGCTCTGCTGCTGCTGCTGCCACTCGTCGTCATTGCCGTCCTTATCATCCCCCGTCACGACACCGCGCGAGGCGAAGTCAGGAAGCCCGCGCGGATCTACATCGGTCGTGTACTTGGTCACGTAGGTCTGCTTCGTGGTGCGTCCGCCAGCGTCTGCCATTCTGTGAGACGTTGGTGTTAGGGCGTTTGCTGTTCGTTTCCTAGAAAGAAAAGGAATAAAGAAAGATAGAAACGACCGTTACTGCTGTCCACGGCGGCAAGCACCAGTCAAGGTGATCGGTTTTGTTTTCTTACTGTTTATTCTTCTTTGAGGGGGGAGGGAGGGAAGAGGGGTCCAGAGAAACGCACTAGTGAACCGAGGACGTCAACAGCTAAGATAAACGGCGAGACACCAGCACAGGTGAAAGTGTAGTTGATCTGAGATGCAGAGAGAGAGAGAGAGATAAAGAGCGGCGGAGAGTGCCTCGGTGCGCACAAGCACTGCGAAGAAGGCGCAGCGAAAGCCACGGGAGAAAGGCACGGGAGGACGAGTACACGCAGAAACAAAAACAGAACGCGATACGACAAGAGCCACTGCCGCAGATATTATTTTTTACCTTACCAAAAGGCACATCGAGTTAGTATACACACGCACAGCTCCTTTCATAAAAGGGTCTCGGCAAGCGCTGCAACGCATCAGCACCGTTCTTCCCATTGCTGAACTGCCTTTCAAACTCCGCAGATGGAGAGCCGGAAAAGAACCGCGCAGCGCAGAGATGTGTTACCGCTATTCTTCTTTCGAAGACCGGCCATCCTTTAAACGACGGGGTTGCCTTCAACCATGTGCGTGTGTACGACAACCGATCCACCACCCTGGAGTTTTACAGGTGGTTTGCCGCTCTCCTTCAACAGCTTTCGGCTGTTTTCTTTTTTATTTTTGAGTCGGCCCACAACGGAGGCCCAAAGACGATGAAGAACGTACAGACAAAGAAAAAGCCAAAGCACCATAGAGAAGGCGCCAGCGGGCCCACCAGGCGAAGACAGGAAGGGGGGGGGGGAGGGGAGTCGTCGACTCCGCTGCACGCTTGTTCGGCTGCTACATGAAGGAGCCATATTCTTAAAAAAGAATGGGAAACGAGATGAGGAGGAGAGTAAAAAGAAAAGGACTTATTTTCTCTGTTTTCGTTTTTGATAAAAATAATAGTCGCGTTGAACGCGGTACACGGCAACCACACGTACGTGACCTAACAAGATGAAGACATAAAACAAACAGACAGACAGACAGACAGACAGACATGTAGACAAATATATATATATATATATATACGGAAAGAGTACAAAAGAAAAGGAAAAACATGCGTTAGACGGTAAACGTAAAACAGCAAAAAAAAAGTCCACCGTAAAGCCCCCTTCACCAAGGTGGAAGCACCGACCACCCAAACAAACCAATGAAAAACACAGCGAGTACGGGATGCCCCGCACGCATACACACACACGTGGAGTACAGAGGTAGACAAAAAAAATAATAGAGAAACATAAAACTATGAATGAGCAACAGAAGACGGGTACAACACGCACAATAGAAGCCCTAAGTGCGCTGCTTGGCGAGGTCTTCTTCGCAGAGAATGCCCCAGCTCTCCGTATCCTCGCATCCGGTTTCGCTTACGCCCCCTCTGGCCGCCGCTGCTGTGGAGTTACATCTCCGGCACGCTGCCGCGTAGGTTTGCGTTCATCGCGCTATCATACGCACGTCGCGGCAGCTGCGGCAGCGAATTCCGCACACGCCCCCGCGAGTCGCTCGCGGCCTCCTCGGCGCTGTCGTCTAACACCGTCATCTGCGACGGTCGATGCGGATACTCGGCTCCGCGAGGCGGCCCCACCTGCGGTACGCCCTGCTGGTACGGCGACGAGGCCCAGCGCTCCTCCGTCGGCACCTCCTCCACCACCGGGTGATAGACCCCTGCGAGCGGCACCAGCTGCACCGTCGCGGCAGGTAGGATTACAGTCGTCGTCGTGTTGGTTGAGATCCACGAGTATGTCGTCGTGTTTTTAAACGCCTTCGGATTGTGTCGCGCGGTCCTCTTCCGCTTGTTCTGCGGTGCCGTCTTCTCCCCGCGTCTCGCGTGGAGCTGCGGCCCCTTCGGGCTAGAGTGGCCGTGGACCGGCGCTGCCGGCGGTGGCGGGACGGTCCGAGGGGCGCTGCGACGGGTGGGGTGCGAAGCGGGCTGCGGCCGTCGCGGTGGGCGTTGCGGCGGCTTCCGCTCTGCGTCGTAGCTGTCGCACGATATCACCTCGCCACACAACGCCTCATCTTCGTCATCAGTATAATCGTCATCGTAGGGGCGGTAGTAGGGGTCGTCGCTCCGGTGCTCCTCCTTCTCCCTGTCTGCGGCACGAGCGTCACCCTGTGGAACGGAGGAGGAAGAAGGAGAGGTGTTGTGGTCGTCGTTGTGTGCTTCGTTGTAGCTGCCACGATGAGGACGCGCATCGTTTCTGCAGCTGGTGTCGTGGTGGTCAGAGCGTGGACGCTCCCACGTATCGCGCAGTGGGCGGCGGCCTTTCCCAGTGTCTTCGTCAAACTCCCTCGCACTTCCGTCGTCGTCTCGGTCTTCATCGAAGCTGCCCCGCCCCTCCTCACGCAGTGCACCGCGCCCACGACCACTGCTGCCGCTTGCCTCGGCCGAGCCCGCCTCTTCTCTGAAACGAGCTGGGCGGCTGCGGTCCACGTTACAGTCCTCCTCACGCTCCTGAGGCTGGCCGCCCCACTGCCGCCGCGGCGGAGGTGGCGGTGGCGGCGGCGGTACGTCGACCGGTCGCTTGCGATAAGAGGCGTCGTCGCTGTCGTGCGACGCATAGATCACGCGCATCGGTAGATCCTCACGGCGAGTAGTCCCGTTCTTGCCCGTCTCGCCCGCCTGCAGCGCCGGGGCCTCGTCCGCCGCGTTGAACCGCTCTTCAAAGGCGCGCATGTTGAGCCGGCCGGTCTTGTTTGGCTCCCCGCCACTAGGCAGAACGTTGTCGTGGTGGTTGTCGTAGTGGTTCGGTTCGTAGTCTACCTCACTGACGTCTTCTTCGTCGGGGTCACCGCCTTCCTGCCAAGCTTCGTCATCATCGTCGCGGTCGTCGGACGGGCGTGGGCGCAGCCGGGTGCCGCTGCTCGTACTCGACGGCTCGTATTGCCGGCTCCAAGGCAGCGGTGGTGGCGGCCGCTCTGGGTGCTGACGCGATGCTCGCACCTCCTCCTCGTCTCTCTCTGCACTCCTCGCACCTCCGGCACGTTCATCAGCCCTCGAATACAAAGACGGGGGCGCGACGTCCTCCTCCGCTGCCGCCACCCCGCTGCCGCGATCCCCACGCCACGCAGAACCCACGTGACCATCGTCATCGTCGTGGTAGCGTTGCCCGTTGTAGCCGTCTCTATCGACGTTCCTGTTGATGGTACGTGAAGACAGCTGGGTGCCAGGCGCCCGGTAGCTGTTGAGGTTGTACGTCATCTGCTCCGGTCCGTCCCAGCTGAGGATTTCAAACGTGGGCGCCACACGGCGGCGCAGACGCGACGGCTGCGAGAGGGCCTGGAGGAGAGTGACGTTCGCACGTGTCAGCGGAGCCGCCATCAGCTCTTCCGCTGCTGCGTATTTGCCCTCCTCTGCGTCATCGGCCGATGGGGGCGATGGGGGCGGGAGGCGCGAGTACACCGTCGAGGTCATGTATATTGCTGTTGTTTGTGTGTGTGTGTGCTTATTAGGTGTCCGGTTCGCACAAGGCACCACTGTGAAGGCTGCCCGTTGGTCTTCGGACAGTAGAGAAAAAGAATACGAAGAAGAGAAGAAACCTCTTGCTGTGGGTGGTTCTACACCAAATACGTGTGTTCGTGGGTGTGCGTGTGTGATTGGCAGCGAGAGACACACAACGTGCGGAGAAGCCAGCGTGATCATTACGTAATACATAAAGAAGCGCATGAAAGAGTTAGAGGAGGTAGGAAGAGAAGGATCACAGCCACCCACACATCGGGTATAGATAAGGAGAGCCGCTGGGGTATTCCTTGCAGATGAGGGACTTCACATGTGAGACAGGGACAGGCACAGAACACGGAAATATAGACATTACTTTTTTTAAGGCATGAGAAAAGTCAAAGCACATTAACCTTGCTATAACTTTTCTGTTTCTCTTTTACTCTACCGTTGCCGTGATGGTTACTCACGTTGGTATCACCTCTGATGAAGCAAGTCATAGGTTTCCTGTTTCGGCCCGACGGTGCCTCGGAACGATATTCTCGAACGAGGAAAAACCGTTTGTTTCTATTCATCTGCCTTTTCGGCGACTGCGCGAGCCGCAGCGTTTCTTCCGTCTACACAGTGATGTTTCCCACTTCTGCTTTTTACGAATGAGGTACACGTAACTCGACTCCGGCAAAAGAAGAAAAAAGAAGGACACTTGAAATTCAGAGAAGAGAAGTCGGCTTCTCTCCTTTTCCGACTTTACATGGTTGGAAATAAATAATAATAATAATATTAATAATAATAATAATAATAGTAAAGGACGACGAGTGCGAAGTGCAGGGGGCGCGACTTCATCAAAAGAAAACGCATATATGTATATGCGGATGTTTTTACTAAGGTTCCAGTTCCAACCGAAAAGGGGGTTCCAACAACGCAGCACACAGCACACTGCACATAGCCTAGCAACGGGGGGAGATCCTTGACAGAGCTCTGAATCGTACTGTTTTTTTTCCTTTTCACGGACAGCAAAGTGATATTTCAAAAAAAAAACCCTTTTATGATGGCGCCTTCAGTCCTCGTTCCGAAACGCGTTCAACGCAACACACACGTTTTTCGGCAACGTGCCAGACAAGCAGCGGACTTCTTCGCCCATTGCACACCGTCGCGGGAAGCTCAACAGGAAAAAGAAAAGAGAAGAAAAGAGAAGAAATTGGGTAATGGCACATAAACTCACTTCACACACACACACCACCTTTGGAATAACACGGTAAGAACAAAGCAAAACGAGAAGAGCGGTAAAAGCAAACGGCGTCAACGTACACCGTGAGTTGAGAAGAGGAGGAAGAACACGAGAAACAAAGCAAAAAATGCCATCACATAAGAATTCATGTATCGTTCAGTTATACGTTTTTTTTTCTTTTTATTTCAGTTTTTTCCCATGTATGTTATTCTAACGTGCGTACAACTCGGGATAAACGCGGTGCACGGAGAAGTAGCTGAACGTGTCGATGATGCCTCCGCACCGCAGCGTCCGTGCCGCCTTCCGCGCCGGCCCCGGCGCTCGCAGCGAGGCATTCGCCGCCGTTGTCGTTGTTCCCGTTCCTTGTCCTACCGCGGTGGAGGGCAGTTCAATTGGTGGTAGCGGTGGCGTGCGCGCCGAATCCTTCTTCCCCTCTCTCGAAGCACTTTTCGGTCTTCTCAAAAAGAAAGTCGTTGCCATCCCCTCGCAAGGTGGCTGGGCCGGATAGCCAGCTGCGTTTTTGGCGTGCTCCATTCTGTCCTCCTGCGCGTTGTGACGCACAGCAGATTGGTCACACAGCCCGTGGCTACCGAGCCCGAATACCAGCTCACGCGCGCGACTTGTTGACCGTCTCGGACGCACGTGCGCTTCACCTTCTGTGCCGTTGTGACGCAGCTCGCGGAGTGGCCGAAATGCGATCTGCGGGTAGTCCTCCGCACGCTGCATCTTGCCAAGCTTCATGCTGCTGTCGCTTTCATTCCCCTGCGTGCTCCCTCCGGGCGTGGGACTCTGCCGCAGAGGTGTGGCGGCTCCCTTCATCTTATCGTCCGCGGCAGGAGTGGCAGGGGGGGTGGCGCCTTTTGTGGACTGTCGGACTGCGTTGTCAGCCGCCACCGCCATCGGTTCCTCGTACTCCTCGAAGGAGACTGTGGGGATGCGCGTCATGGCGTGCGTGAGAGCGTTCGATTTCTGCTGCACAGACTTCGCTTGCTCTCCCCTGTGTCGTCGGCGCGCCCCTTTTCTTCCGGATGGGCGTCGCTGCCTCTGCACGGCGGAGGCTTGTGAGGTGCTTCCTTGATACGATGAAATTTGCAAAACAAAAAAACACAGGCGTGTTCGAAAGAAAGAGAAGGGAGAAATGTGGTGGATAGACGAATCGCAGAGGTGGCTCGCAGACAGCTTCGGGGCAGACGGAGCTTCAGGTACGATAAGGTGACGAAGAGAGAATGGGGAGGAAATGGAGAAGACGGTGAAGCGGCAGAAGGGTAGTGAGGCGGCAAAGGGCGGGCGGCATCGCTGCTACCTGCCACCTCCGCGGGTTTGGTTGGGTTTTTCTTTTCTTTTTGGGGGTGGGGAGAAGGATGCGGGCTCGGACTTGTGGCGCTCCTCTGAACAGGCGCTCGAAGGAACACAAGAAGAAAGAAGAAGTCGCACCGTCCCTCCCGTAGAGCCACTTTCATACCAAGGTCAAGATTCAATAGAGAAGAAGAAAAAAAAAGCTCTGCATCACGCAGGCACAACGCACGCCTCCGGTCCTTCGCACAAGCCAAACGGAAGTAAGAGGAGGGAAGAGGGCGGAGGCGTGAGATACATCCAAAAAAAGCCGATCTCGGCGTTTTTTTTTTTGATTGCAAGTGCCTTCAGCGACGGGGCTTCTTATTGTTGTTGGGATTCGAAAAGGAGTTTGGCAAAGCGCACCAACGAGAGATGTGTAAACAGCATCAGCTAGTAGTAAACCAAAAAAAAACCTACGAATATAATAAATCAAATAAATAGCGTTCCCGCACAGGAGCGACGACGAGGAAAAGAAAAAAAGGAAAAGTACAATCTGCAAAGGCAGCTCAAGGACAGGCGCACAGATCCCCATGGCAGTTATCGCACATCATCCTTTGATACGGTTGTCGTCGTCATGTCTCCACGGCTCACCGTTTCTATTACCCTCCATTGTTTTCTCATTTCTTCCTCTAGGCTACAAAACAGCCGCGTCAAACGCTTCTACTGCTCCGGTGAAGGAGCGAGGAGGTAATCGAATACCTCCTTCGGTCCCATCAAGATGCTCCGAAACAGTCCGGGTCGGTAATCGTAGCCGTAGTCATCATCGTAGCTTCTGCTCCGCCGTCGGCCACCACCGCCGCGACCGCCACGGCGTCTATCGTCATTCAAAACGTCCACGTTCTTCGAGGGGCCAGGAAGGTAATCCTTCACCGTGCGGTAGAGTAAAAACCCGCACACGCCGAGCACCGCCACCTGCACAGTGAGCTGACCGACGCTGCGATAGTACCCATGCAAGCGGTGCTGCACACGGGCGCGGACCGCCCCGGGCGTCCAGTCGTACCAGGCAGGCGGGGTGTAGTCGTAGTAGTCATCACCGCGTGCACGCCCACGTGCGTCGGCTTTCATCTGCTCCTCGCGCTTCTTCTCCTCGCCCTCGACGCCGACCTGCCGCATGCCGTCCCCCAACAGCGCCCCCAGGGAGCGGAACTGGTCCGCGTTGAGGGCGCTGTAGTTGATGTCGATTTGATACTGCTGATAGCTGCTCTGATTTGGATCGGCCCCGCCCCACCCGGCCGGCTGCCGCGACGGGACGTTCGTGAGTTGATTCATCAGCTGTCGCTGGAGCAGGTCGACGCCGTAGAGAAACTGTGCCTCCGTCATGGGGATCAGCTCTCCCGGCTCGCGCCCTACGTGCACCGCGAAGCACTGCTCAACGTACTTGCGGCCGAACATGGAGTCCGTCTTGCAGATGCTCTTGTACTCCGACACGGCCCAGGCACTGTAGTCGCGGTACTTCACGAGGTAGTAGTCTTCCTCCTGTAAGGACTGCAGACTGGCACGCATAGATGCTTTAAAGGCGCGAGTGGAGATGCTGAGCTGCTGCGACGACTGCTGCGAGCCGGGTCGGCGCGACCCTTGAGAGGGAGAGGTGGGGCTCATGTACGGGTTCGAGTTGGACCCACTCGTCACCGCGGCATCGGCGGAGTTGCCGCCGTAGTCCTCGTAGTCCTCCCCACCGTCGACCAGCGTCGTGTCCATGTGTTGCAGCGCCATGGCCGCCTTGGACAGGCGGAACATGTTGTGGCCCAAATCGATGTTGTAGCCTGTGCAGGTGGAGAAGTTCGCCTGCAGCTCCGCCAGGGGCCGGCTCTGCAGCAGCACGTAGGACCGGTTCGTCGAGCCGCGTCGGCTAAGGTGCTCCAGCAGCCCCATCTCTCCTTTCGCCGCGTCCGGCACCCAGAAGGTTTGACTGATGTCGTAGCCGATGAGGAGGGAGGAGAGATATCCCTGACGACCGGTACCGGTGCGGTGGTCATCGCCCACGCCGCGGCCGTCTATGCCGCCGAATACCCCACCGCCGAAGTTTTCAGCAGTGCGAGCCCGAACAATAATCGGGTTGCCCGCCGCGGCCATCGCTCTCGCCGTGCCGTTGTTCGGTTGAGGAGGGACAATCACCTCTCCCGCGTCGGTGGCTCGCACGACCACCGCCTGACTCCACTGAGAAGAGAGCGCCATGTCGACGCTACAAATTCTATCTCTTGCTTGTCTTTGTCTGTCTGTGTGTGTGTGTGTGTGTGTGTGTGCGAGTGGGTGAGTTCGTTGCCTCCGTCAAGAAGACGGCGTGTGGTGGAGAACGAAGGAGAAAGGAGGATAACACGTTTCGCGGTGAGTGTTGTTTGCTGCCGCCGATGAAATGGCTCTAATTGCGGTGATACACACCCTTCGCTGGGTGCTAACAAGAAAACGAAAAGCAAAGAGACAGAAAAGGGGGAAAAAAACCTTTACAGATGCGCTGGTTGTGTTGAACTCCACGACATCAACAGCAGAACGGCAGCGCCAGACCTCCCACAAGCACCCCCGATGTATCGAAAGCACACTACCGGAGCGAGAAAGAGCGA